AGATTTTAGTACAAAGGAAGCAAAGGTTTCACTATAAAATATAGATGAAAATGCTGACTCAGCCAAAAGAATGTTTTACACAGTTAATGCTATCCAGCTCCTCACTAAAGGCAACTGGCCCTCTCAGGATTGTCGTCAGTGAGCCCTCCAAGCCTGGGTTTTCTCTTGCTGGGGTGGCCAAGCTGAAGATTTAGGAAAATAGGTGAGGAGGCAACAAAGCTGTCGCCCTGGTGATGGTAGACCTGCTATTTCTCCATGGCCCCCAAGTTTGCCTGCTCACCACCAGACTGGCATCCGAGCCTGAGGAGTTCGGCTCCCCTGGGGGACCTTAGCCAAGGTCGACCGTTCACAGTCAGTGCCACATATCCCACCAGAGGGTGAGCGTTGCTGCATTGAGCGCAACATTCCCCATGCTGGGATTTGGGTGCTCTCCATGGTCCAGGACAGTTATCACTTCTCCTCCTTGAGGATGCTCATGGCCTTCGTATCCCAGGCTAGGCTTGGAATTTTCTTATCAGTGTCAGGCCCTGTCCACCCTTCTACATATCAGTTCACCTGGATGGATGCTTATCAGCTGTCCGCACTACTCCTCCACGTAGCTGGAAGGATTTCCAAAGAACACTACCTAGAGCAGGTGTCCCCCCCAACAATGTAGAGACACCCCTACGATAGCTATTTTCTGCCCCTGCCTCTGCCCTTTAGCACAGACAAGTATTGCATACCAGCGGTTGGCCCTTGAGTCTGGGCTTCCTTGTGTCACTGGTCAGGTTGCCTCCTAGACCCAGATGCTGAGGCTTCCTCATTCCTCACTTTGGCCAAGGGCCAGTCACCCTTGAGCACACCCTCTAGAGTCTGGAAAGTTTTCCAGGCACTGCCTGTCTTCCTGCTTCTAGGGACCCCTTTCCTGTCCATCCCACTCAGCCAGGCATGCTCATCAATGAGTACCTAGATACATGTCTTCCCCTTTGACCATCTTTAGAGGTCCTTCTAGGTTCAGGCTGTTCCTCTTTTCTTCCTGGACCATGAAGCAGATTGAGAAAGTTATATTGGACACACACACACACACACACACACACACACACACACACACACCCTTCAGTATCAGGATACTGACACTGTACACTCACAGTGGTACTCAGTATCAGGACATTGTGTTGGTGTGAATCAACTAAGCCCATGCCTGACTGGTTTTCCTGGCTAAAACCACTGGTGGATCCCAGCCCCTTATTCCAATCCCACCAGAGAAAAACATGTGCATGAGGTGAGGAAGGCCAGGCAAAAATATCCGCCAGTGGTCCAGGACTTCAGGTCAGTTGGGACATCTCTTTCCTCTTGGCCAAACTGGAAAGGCTTAGAACACTTTGACTCCAGTGTTTCCATTTTCCATTAGGCTGTGTTTTAAAATCATTTAAACTGTGAGTGAATGGCTTTGTATACATGAAAAGACTTTCAAGAATTAGGTTGAAACTCTTTTCTGCAAGGTGTCTCACACTATGTACCACTCCCATTTGCCTGACGCTAGTCATGTATGCCATTGTTTCTTGCAAAAAGAAGTATTGCTGTGCCACTATACATTTTAAATGTGTGCAACAAGAACTATATTTTAAATTAAGATCTTACGACTTGATTCAGTAGCTTCTGCCCCTTCTAACTGCTACCTTCCTTTCCATCTCTTTGTCCCCATCAACAGCGAAGTAAAATCCTCAACCAACGAAATGCCTCGCAAACACCTGTTCCTTCAGAGTCTTTAAAATGCAGGGCCCAGCTCAGCAGGTCTAAGATGGAGCTGTAAAATCTGTTTTCTGTTTTTGTTTTTTATGGTCTCATGTATTCCAGCCTAGCCTCAGACTTGATATGTGGCCTTGAACTTTTGTTCCTATTGAGTTCACCTCTCAAGTGATGGGATTACAGGCAAGAACTACCAGCCAAGCGTTTGTGGTGCTGGAGATCAAGGCTGAATGCTGGGCAAACTACCACATGAGCTACATCCTTAGCCCCTGAGAGTCTACTTTTAACTTATTTTATTTTATGTGTATGAATGAGTGCTTGCTTGTATCTGCACCACATGAGTGCTTGGTGCCCTCAGCAGAGAGAGGGGCATCAGATCCTCTGAATTTGAAGTTGCAGATGGTTGTGAGCTGATGAACCAGGATCCTGGCAAGACCAGCAAGTGTTCTTAGCTGTCGAGTCATCTCTCCAGCCCCCACAGAGTCTCTATGTATCTAAAGAGCTAAGGGATGCCTATACTTCTCTTCCTGGGACCACGTTTTGAAGAGTAAGGCCCTTGAGGACCTCTGTGAGAATTAGTTTGAGTTTCTAGGTTATAGGATATGACTGTCCCTGATTTGGTAAGAATTGCTCATCTGCATTCCAGTTCTTCCTCAGCACCCTACCCCTCATCAGCAGCTCAAGAAGTTGGAAGATGTCTTTTTTATGTGAGGGGAGGGAAAAGGCCTTTCCTGTCCTCACCTGCATTGTGTCCTCTGCCATCCTGTGCATATTGTCTTGGTTGAAACCTCCTTTCCCCTTAATTAGAATGGTCCCAGGTCTCTGGAGTGATGTTCCTGACCAGTGAGGCATGGATAAATGAGTAAAAAATTCAGGCTAGGCATCTGAGTCTCTATTCTCACCATAGACAACTCTGAAGGCTTATCACTCTAGACATCTAGATACATTTGACTTACGGTGTTACTAGGTCTTGGCTTCATCTCTAATGTGGATTTCTCCTTTGTAGCCTGTTAGAGTGACCTCTATATGTATGTAGGGTGGACTCAAACAGCCTGGCCTTGATACTGCTGAGTGTCTATCCTGATCCTGACCAAATAGTTATAGTGTACATATGTTTTGTGTGTGTGTGTGTGTGTGTGTGTGTGTGTGTGTGTGTGTGTGTGTGTGTAGTGGTATTAGCAGCTAGTTCAGGCACTTCAGCTTGCAAGTCAGATGCCCCAAAGTAAGTGTCTTTCTGTTTGTTTTACCCATGTAGAAAATGAAGTTCAGAAAGATTTATCAAGGTTGGAAATGTAGCTCAGTTGATAGAGAGCTTCCCTAAAATGCAGGAATCCTTAAGTTTTATCACCAATACCAAATACAGCAGGCATGGAAGCACATCCCTATAGTCCCACCCCTTGGGAGGTAGGGCCAATAGGATCAGAAGTTCAAGGTCATCCTCAGCTACATAGTGAGTTTGAGGACAGTCTGAACTGCATGAGCTGTGTGTGTGTGTGTGTGAGAGACAGACAGACAGACAGACAGACAGACAGACAGAGACAGAGATATCAATCCATGGAACAAGAATGTGACAGGGCTACAGCATCTCTGTGTCTCTCTGTGTCTTGCCTTGACACATGCCCACATTGCAGAGGGAAGAAACAAAGGACTGCTTTGGGACTTTAGGTACTGAAGCTAAAGATGTCTAATAACATACAGAGTTCCAAAACCGTGACAGGTTTTGGCCAAAATGAACCATGATTTAAGGTACATGAGTGTTTGGGTGGCAGAAGAGGCTTTTGGCCTAGAGCTTCTGAAGCAAAGATTTTAAGGTTAGATATAAAAGAGATAAGGAATTGGGAAGCAGCAGGAAATTGGTAGAGGTGGGTGTGGATAAAGACTGTTAGCTGGACCCTGCTGTGGGCAAATTGTCTAACATGTCGATCACTTTATTTGATAACTGATACTCAACATTTTGGTTGGAGGGGTCAGCAGATAGGTAAATGGCCAGACTCTGAGGAAGTGTGGATGATCCAAAACCTTCTGTAATGTAGACAACTTGCTTGATCAATTTTGGAAATCCCTGAGCTATTATTTCCCTATTCACACAACTTTTCAAGCATTTCCTGGCACCAGGCTCCAACCTCAAGCATTGCACAACTAGTATAGTTCAATATCTGCCTACTTTGAGGTTGTATAACACAGCGTTTTACATTTCATCCACACCATCTATTCTGTGTTAGCTAGTTTAGGGCTGAGATTCTAACCATGACAGAATTTCTCTGGAATTCTAGAGACACTTGCTTCATCATCTTAACTTCCAGATTGAAAGGCCTTTTGCGCTTGTAGAATGTTCTTGGAGCCAAAACATCTTAACTGCTTTTTGGCCTTACAAAGTACTTTTCATAAACCCAGGCATGGTGGTACAAGTTTTAATCCCAGTACTCTGGGAGGCAATAGATCAGAAGTTCAAAGTCATCCTGGACTTCATGAGACCCTGTTTCAAAATGAAAACAAAAACAAAATGAAACAGCAACAACAAAAAACCAAAGTATTTAGCAAATAGATACTGACTTTGGATCATAACAGTCCCATGAAAAGAATGGGACCCACTTAACAATGAGATTCAAAAATAATGAATTGGCCAAGGTGTGGGTGTCTGAAATGGGACTTGTTCTTTCCTAACAGATATGGAATCTGGAGGCTCTATATGTATGTAGGGTGGAGTGTATGCTTATGCACAAAGCCTTAGATTCATTCTCTAGCATGTGTGTGCACACACACACACACACACACACACACACACAACTCGCTATGATGACTGACCTATTTCCTGTTTCTGGAAGGTGATAGAGGTGAGGTCACCAGGGTTTTGGACCAGGACCACCCCTGTCTATCTTTCAGTAAGGTCCTTTCCCAGAGTCTATGCTCTTCCTGGAAGCTGAGGATCCTTGACAAGTCCACACAGTGTGACAAGAACAGGGGTATACAGGTGGAAACTCTCAGGAAGCCTGAAGCAGGGAGGGCTGGGGAGGTGTGATTAAAAAAGATGCTGCCTGGGAGACCAAGTGTTGCTACCACATCTGTACAGGTGTTCTCGGTGGTTTGGTCAAGTTCTTGCCCCCGGCTGAACGGTTTGTCCTGCCCCTGACACCAACATGGGTTTGAGGTAGATGCTCAGAAGCCAGGTCCCCACCTGTGCTTGTGATTGGGGGTCCGAAGTCAGTTGAAGTTCCACTCCCCTCTCCCCACAGGGCTCAGGCCCTAGGCCAGGGCTCAACAGACACAGGCAATAAGATGGGGTTGCCCTTCTATTGGTCCAAGTCCTGAGCATAGCCTGGGTGAGTCATGGAGGTAAGGAGGCCCACGAGGCTCAGCAGTGTGGAGAAGAGCAGCAGGAAGGAGGCAGTGAAGAGCAGAGCAGGCAGGGCACTGAGTACCAGCAGCAGGATAGCTGGCAGCAGGTGGCTCCACACCACAGCCACTACAGGCCACAGGGAGCTCAGCAGGTAGGAGCCAGTGGTGAAGAGTGCATGGCAGAGCATCAGTGCCAGCAGCAGGTAGAGTGTCCCCTCCAGACCCCAGAGCATACGCTGTAGAGGTTGCCGCCAGCCTGATGTATTCCACCACTGGGACCAGCTCCGGGGCATGTGGCATGCCCACCAGCGCACCCAGTCCTGACGGGTGACCCAGGCTGACCAGGGCACTGCCCGCTGGGGCCCCTCGCCAGCCCCGATGATATCCGTCTCCACTCGTGGCTGCTGCATCACGGCGGGTGCACCTGTGGACAGGGCCAGGCCAGCTGCAGGAGCAGCCCTGGAGATGCCCAGGATCTCTGGATAGGTGGGGCCGCAGGGGTCAGGAGGATACCAGCACGGGCGGGATTGGGCTTTGAACTGGGGCCTAGGACTTACCTTTGGGCAGAGCCACCTAAGTCATGATGCTTCTTGTTGTGCCCAGGCTAGCCTGGCAGCCAGGTCCCAGGCTTACCCTCACTCACCCCACCATCCTCAGAGGAGTCCATTGTGACCTGGGCTGGGGCGGGGCCCAGTTAAGAGAGGAACTACTGCAGCATAGTGTGAGAGAGACTCACTTGAGTTCCTGACTATGGACCCTCCAGCTTGGCAGGAGAGCTCAGCAAGCCTCACAGATACCATACTCCTTGCTTGTAGGAACCCTTCCCCACTCCCGTCCCTCCTTGATGGCCGCCTCCAACTGCAGGCCTGGAGTTGGTTGTCATATATACCCTTTTCTCTGGTTTCTCTGGTCACCCTAAGCCTCAGACCCAGTTCTCAAATGCCCACATTATGGAACTAGAGGCCTCTGAGGTTCAAGCTGAACACAATCGAGTATTCTACCCGTACCCCACACCCTAACCCTCATGTAGCTTAGGATGGAAGAGAGCCTGGGAAGCAGAATGGCTGGTGTATTTTTAGAAGGCATTCAGTTTTCAGAGGGCCCTCAGGCCCAAGGATGGAGGCAGAAAGCGAGGCCCAGCAGGGTTAAGGGTATACCAGAGCCTCCCAAGAAGAGGCCCAGGCCCAAGAACAGCAGGAACAGGGCATCCTGGAGGCTGAGTAGTCCCGAGACTATCCCTGTTGGGAGGAGGGGAGCTGCCTGCTGACCGGGACCTTCACCAGCCCCCTGGCTCTGACCCATTGGGAGAAGTCTGTGTTGTGTCAGGATGGGACCTGTGGGCCTGTGGAGAGAGAAGATGCCAGCTCAAGGCAATTGTTCATTTGACTCTGTGCTTGTGACACCCACCTGGCAGGCTGCTGCCACTTACCCATGGAGCAGGTCAAAAGCAAGGAAGCTGACCAGCAGCAGGAGCAGCAGGGCTAGGCCAGCTGTCGAGTAGACTGTTCCAATTGTCACTCCTAGTGCCCCCAGCCCTAGGATACTGTCCAGGAGCTGGGCCTGGCTGAAGTCCCAGGGGACACACATGGCTCACTGACCTACTTAACCGCTCTCCAGTGTCCAGACAGCTGGGAGGGATAGGATGGGCTCGATAAAGGCTTTGGGCATGGGCAAGCAGAGCTGGGACTGGAGGTGTTAGGAAGAGCTCGTGATAGGAGATTAAGAATCAGGAGGCAGGCAGGAGGACCCTGGTATGCACTCAAGGGTGAGCTCAGAGAATAGGGACCTGGGCTCTGTGTGGATGCTCCCGCTCTGTCTTCACCAAACCCTCCTCACCTCCTCCCACGTGGGCCGGCCATTCTGGATTTGGACACCCAGGGCACTGTGACTTATTGCCAGGTAGTGCCTTGAGTTAAGGATAGGACAACAGTTTGTCTTGCCTCATAAACACTGGTGGCCTAGGTGGGGCTTAGCTAGCAAATCAGTGTTTTCTGAGAACTAAGACTCACCCTTAGTTATTGCCATGGCAAGTAATTCTCTGCCCTGGGGACTTCCCATGACTTCTGGCTTGTCAGGAAAGCATGCTAACAGCATGACTATTTGGATTCCTGCCAAGGGAGGAGAGGCTGCTACCTCCTGGAAGTTCTCAGGCTGGGTGTCTGGGATGTCATTCAGCCATTCAATTTTTCTGTATCCATTTCTCTTCCCTGAACATGGGATGAGGCCTGAGGTGTAGTGGGGAGTCAGGCCTACAACTCTGGGGTACGGAATAGGCTTTTCCTGGAGATAAGTTAGGCTTGGGTGGCAGGAGTATGCCATTGGATGTCTTAAGCACTGCAGTTTGGGGAGATGTTATAGTTTCAGAAATGGGACAGAGAGCTGGGTATGGTAGCTTATGCCTTAATTTCAGAGCTCGGGAGGCTGAGGCAGGAAGATTGAGAGTTTAAGGCCAGCCTGGACAATATAGTGAGATACTGCTCAGAGAAACTTGTAAAACAACAGAGGTTATGAACTTAAAAGGCCTACAACATTGTTACCCCAAGTGATTCTGAGTCAGGGTTTATTCATGTGTTCCAAGCTGGCCTTGAAATTGCCATGTAATGCAGGGTGCTCTCTAACTCTCGGCGAGTCTCTGTCTCCTCATCCTGAGTGCTAAGATTGCAGGCATGTACTAGTGTGTCTCACATAAACCCTAAATAGGAAGTTAAGGCTATAGTTTAAGAATGAAATTAAGGAATGAACGTAGAATAAATGGATGATCACAATTGATGATTACTATTATTCAATGAGAATAAACGTAATCCCACTGAATCTATGAAGCGGGAGCGGTTACAGAGCTATTAAGTACATGGATTGTTTGGTGATAAAAGATGAATAGAAGTGACTTATAAATTTAGATATTACTCATACTTTGAAGGAAAGCTAAAGGGGAGACAGTGACAATATAGACATTGACAGTATATCCCCAGAGGTTGAATGAGAATGATAGAAAGGGCATTCTGCTGTCTCCCAGGAAGCTGTCCCCAAAGACCCAGGCCTGGTGGCCTTGGCATGTTTAGCGCTGATGGACTTGAAACCATAGAGCCAGTGTCATTTGTTCTTACCATTATTCACCAGTTACCTTTCTACTGGCTTAGTTTGGCTGGAAACTTTGTTTCAGATATAGATTTGTCTATAGGGAGACAGCAGATGATCCTGTTTTTTATCTAAGTCTCAATAGTCATTGTAAATGAGAAAATGAGCATTTAGGTTTTAAATTGCCAGTTCCATGAGTGCTCATTTCTGGTGCAGGCACAAAATTGCATCGCTGAACTATGGAATTGAGAGTTGTGTCCTGACAGTTCTACTGAGAGGAACTAGCCACAATGCAAGGGTATGGGATGTTCAACTAATATTCCTTAAGATTTGGTGTGTGCAAGCTGCTCCACATAATTTGTAGGGTAGCTCTACTTGGAGTTTTCTCAGTTTATTTTTTGTTCAACAATAACTTATAAATTGATCCCTGTGTGCCAGATCTACTGTTGGATTATGACTCCTATGGCAGACCATGGCTCTCATACAGACGTTCTATTGAGCGCTTGGAGTTGTTCTCAGAAGGAAAATAATTAGGAGATGAGGAAGGAGAAGGGCAAGGTAGAAGAAAGGGCTAACCTAGCATATTGTCTTGTCTGGAGTCTAGCCTGACCTTGCAGATAGCTCTGAGAATAGTGAGTTGTGCTATAGAGTTGGTCCCATCTTATCAGTCACTGGTGATAGCTCTTTCATGGAGGAAAGAGAAGAGGGAGATAGATAAGAGAAGTTAGAGAACTGTAACTTTCAACATGAAAGCAACTCCTATCCGCTGAGCGCTTTTGTCTGTAGAAATCAAGTTTATGAGTGGCAAACAACAATGGGGGTAGGCACCCTGTTGGTAAAAAGGGACCTCAGTGGGGAATCAACAGCATATTGCAGTCAATCTTGTAATAAAGGATTCAGAAAATCTGGATTTGTATCATGTTTATTCATGAAAACTATTTGGCTTGGGCCTGGAGTAGAGCTTCTTAGTAATTAAGAGCTCTTCCCACTCTTCAAGAGGACCAGGGTTCAGTTCCCAGCACCCACACCAGGTGGCTCACAACCGCGTGCCACTCCAGCTCCACGGGATCCAACACACTCTTCTGGCGACTCATACACAAAACTGGTTGGCTCTTGCTGGCCTGTCTAAGGAGCTAGTCTCCAAGTCCTTGGACTATCCTGTTCAATATAAATGTCTCTATTTACACAGAAGTCTTGGGTCACATCAAACAGTCTGTAACAACAGTGTAAGTTTTGCTGAGGACTTAGACCAGAAACTAGGATTACCTTGGCCTCTAGAAGGTTTGAACTAATGTCCACCAACATGGGTAGTCAACTATACTTGTATGACTGATCTCCAATAAAATTTCGGACACCAAAGCTCTAGTGAATTTTTCTTACTAACAGTACTTGGTGCATGTTGTCTCCCATACTGCTGGAAGGATTAAGTACTGGCTACCTGATTCCATTTTCATATAAACAACTGGAATCTCATACCCAATGTTCCTGTACCTTGCCAATGTACATTCTTCTATTGTTAGTTTTATTCTGCCTGCAACCTCTATCATAATCTGTGAGCATTAGTATAATCACTTTGGTGAATTCTTCTGATAAACCATTGAACAAGAGAGTAGTCTTAGGGACTCTGGAAAAACATTGGCATCCGAAGTAGGATTCACTAGGACAGTGCTGATTCACTAAAATAGGATGGAGTCACGAGTTGAGAAAAGGATAAGAGGGAGAGTCTTTGATTCCCAGATGGATACTTAGTCACCACAGCTTGGAAATGAAGCAGCCCCATGATCAGTTACTGGAGGTCAAAGTTATCGGTGGAGTTTATTGATGACGGCTAACTCCTGGAGGAGTCGTTTAGGAAACTGTCCAGAAAGTAGAATAATAAACAAAATCCCTAAGAAACTAAAAAAAGTTACAAACTGAAAAAAATCTAAATTTTTTTCTGGTGCAGTGAACTTTAAGGGAATAGGGCTTCTTAAGCCCCCTCCTTCTTTTGGAGGGCTAGGATGAAAACTATAACAGGAGGTAGTAAATATTGGGGGCTGAGTTGCACTCTTCCTTTCATTTTCTTCCTGGTGGGTGGTCTAGGGCTCCTTATTCCGTGGAGACTATGTGAATTATAGACTCTACCATCCTGCAGTTGTAGCTGAATTCATTGTCATACCAGTAAAGGAACTTGACAAAGTTGTTACTGAGAGCAATGCCAGACCCAGCATCAAAGATAAAAGAATGGGTGTCGCTGCTAAAAATCACAGGAAACAGCCTGTTCCTCCTCATATACCCCAAATGTCCTGTATAGACCTCACGTGCCTGATTCATTACCTTTTAAAACAATTTTAAATTTATTTTCTGTGTATGGATGTTTTGCCTGCATTTATGTCAGAGCACCATGTGTGTGCCTGATGCCTGAAGAGACCAGAAGAGAATGCCAGACAGAACTGGAGTTACAGTTGTGAGTCACTTTGTGGGTTCTGGGAATTTAATTCAGGTCCTCTGTGAGAGTAGTAAGTGCTCTTTTTTTTTTTTTTTTTTTTTTTTTTTGGTTTTTACGAGACAGGGTTTCTCTGTATTGTTTTCCGAGGCTGTCGGTCCAGCCCAGCCTCGAACTCACAGAGATCTGCCTGCCTCTGCCTCCCGAGTGCTGGGATTAAAGGTGTGCGCCACCACCGCCCGGCTGTAGTAAGTGCTCTTAACTACTCAGCCATCTCTCCATCCTCCATGTCTTTGTACTTGGCAGCTTTCTTCAGGTGGCAGGTCAGATCTACCACAGACACATTATCAGTGAGCTTCCTGCTCAGCTCCGGCATGACCTTGTCCACAGCCTTGGCAGTGCCAGTGGATGCAGGGTTGATGTTCTATGCAGTCCCACAACCATCACACCACACTTTCCCAGAGGAGTTATCCATGTTTGCTTGTTTTCTGGAGGGTGGTAATGTCATGTGTTGTGGTCACTGACACCAAAGTTGTCATGGATGACCTTGGCAAGGAGGACTAAGCAGTTGGTGGTGCAGGAAGCGTTGCTGGCAATCTTGAGTGGGTTTCATATTTCTCGTGTTCGTTCCCATCACAAACATGGGGGCAACAGTAGAAGAGGCAGAGGTATGACCTTTGCCTCCACTGTCTACATGGGCCTCAGCCTTCTCCATGGTGGTGAAGACACCAGTTGATTAGACCAGTGTTTGGTACCAGCTTCACCCCATTTGATGTTGGCAGGCTCCTGCTACTGGAAGATGGAGATTGTCTTCCCATTGATGAAGAACTTCCTGATCTCAGCTGGGACTGTTCTTGGGAACTTGCCATGAGTGGAATCATACTGAAACATGCAGACCATGTAGCCCTGCTGACCAAGTACCCAATATGGCCAAACAGGGAGGGCCAGAGAGCTTAAACCATACAACTTTTAATAAACTGAGTGTGGTGGGGAATGCATACCTGTAATTCCAGCACTCTCTAGGCAGAGTCAGGAGGATCAGATGTCCTATGTCATCTTCAGGTACATAGAGACCTGTGGTAATTTGAATGTAATTGGCCCCATTCAATTCTCCCTCATTGGGAATGGTGCTATTAGGAGATGTGACTTTGTTGGAGTGGGTATGGTCTTGTTGGAAGAAGTGTGTCACTGTGGGGCCGACTTCGAGGTCTCTTATGCTCAAGATATGCCCAGTGTCTCAGTTCACTTCCTGTTGCCTTCGGGTTGAGATATAGAATTTTCAGCTCCTTCTCCAGCACCATGTTTGCCCGCACACTGCCGTGTCCCACCCTGGTGATAACAGACTGAAACTCTGAACTGTAAGCCACCCAATTAAATGTTTTCCTTATTATAAAGT